AGAGCATGGGAAGCTGAAAAGTCCTTGACTAGTGTAAGCACGACTTAGCGACAACTAAAACATCGGTGTGTTATCAACATTATTCTCATACTAAATCCAAAACACAGCACTGTACCAGCTACTAGGAAGAAAATTAACTCTATCCCAGCCAAAACCAGGACACCTGTGCGACAAGATCTAACTGTGTGTTTATCTATTTACAAACATATGTAATTTGGTTCAATTAATTTAGTTTAATACTAACCAAATCCTCATGGATGTAAATCTGTCAAGTGAAAGTAGACTCTTGAGTACTGTATGTTTTGTATTGCCAAATCTAGTATATTAAATGCAAAAGGTGGTAGTACTCATAAGTAATAATGTTTTATCTTTCGCACAATCCGGTTTTTGTGTCTCTACCAATAAGGTATTAAAATGAGAAACATCATTTATTACTGATGTTAATTTTAGGATGAGTAGAATGTAATAAATCAGTCACAGCAAGTGCGCAGAAAGCAAAACCCATGTGAAAGCTAAGTTTGAATGTTACGATAATATAAAGAGTTATTTGTTGACAGTATTTTGATAATATATTTCTAATCTGGCAATATTCCAGCAGTTATTAATTGTTCAAGTTGGATGATTTCCTTACATGATTTAGTAGAATTTTAATGTAATCTTTGGATAACATGTCAATTGCTAGCCTGTAATAAAATACTGCAGTACTCTTAATTGCTATATGAAATTCCTGAATGCAGCTGATTGCTGTGACAGGTTCACTATTCTGTTCTGAAAGCGGGAATGCATAAATATCCAATTAGGATAATACACCATGAAATTAATTTTTGTAGAATAAGTTACATTCAATTTCTGAATACACCAAATTAATTAAGGATTATGTACTGCGTTCAAAATAATTAGGCAAGGTTTTGCTTTACTTTAAAATATCATGCCTGTCCATGCTTCAGAATACCTGTGGGGACTTGGGGTTGTGTGGGGAGGACTTAGCTAGCTGCTGTGTAGTTAAGGTTTAGAAAATAGAATCTTAATTAAACTATTAAACCACTGCAAAGCCATATACACAGGTTGCCTTCAAATTTGATATACAGTTTCAAGTATGAAATTCTAAAGTTTTGGTGCAGCTATGTGAAATGCTTAGTCAGGAAGTTCTAGAGATGTAGCTGTCTGACCTGCCTTTAAAAATTTAAATTTTATTTCTTTAGGGGCAAAGAGAGGGCTTGTGATTTTTTTTTTGTTTGTTTGTTCATTTGTTTTATTTTCCTTTTCTCCCCACTCTGCAGTTTCAATAGCAATTTATACTATTGCCTTTTCTGAAGTTGAGCATCCAACTAGAACTAAGAGGAAGGTTCTGCTGAGGCTGCAAGACTGTTAACAGGGTTTAGGGTCTTCTGGCTGGAGAAGGATATATTTGAAAAACAAAACAAAAAACTTAGTTTGGCCTATGGAAAAGGAGACTTAAATTCATCTTCTTACAACACTTAATCCATGGCTACTGTTTTAATTTCTTATATACAATTTTTATTTTGGCCAAGGTACTAAAGATTTGTTCCTGAAAGCATTTACCCTAAGGGGAACAAAGGAAGATGGAATAAAATTTGAGATTAATGAAACAGTCATTCATTTCTATATAATGAGTATTTTTCTTTGGCTGCTTTGATTCAGAAGGTTGTCCTTTTGGGGTTTTGGTTCGGTTTTGGTTCTTTGTTTGTTTTTTTCTTTTCAACAGGGAACCTTTATATAAAGTGAAAAGCCTGTATGCTGTTATTCATATGTTTACTGGATGTTTCTGGATATATACTTGGATGCTTGTTGGTGTTTCTAATGCTTCTTACAATATTAGATAGTCTTCTAAATGAAAGTATCTGTTTCTAAAAATCAGTGCAACGTATAGCACATTAACTGTGGTATCTAGTAATAGGGATGGAGATTTCAAGTAAGGTGGCTTTAAATGTTTTGGCAGGTGAAGTTCCAAAGCAGGTGAAAGTGAAAAAACTGAAGAACCTAAAAACTTTGGACTCCAAACCTGGTAATAAGTTGCTTCAGAGTTAAATTACCAGTATTTTAATTTTAAAAAGCATACCTCATTTTCCCTTTGGCTATATGCTGCTTTTTTTCTTTAGGTGTTTATACCTCTTACAAGCCATACTTGAATAAAATACAGTACTCTTAATTGCTATATGAAATTCCTGAATGCAGCTGATTGCTGTGACAGGTTCACTATTCTGTTCTGAAAGCGGGAATGCATAAATATCCAATTAGGATAATACACCATGAAATTAATTTTTGTAGAATAAGTTACATTCAATTTCTGAATACACCAAATTAATTAAGGATTATGTACTGCGTTCAAAATAATTAGGCAAGGTTTTGCTTTACTTTAAAATATCATGCCTGTCCATGCTTCAGAATACCTGTGGGGACTTGGGGTTGTGTGGGGAGGACTTAGCTAGCTGCTGTGTAGTTAAGGTTTAGAAAATAGAATCTTAATTAAACTATTAAACCACTGCAAAGCCATATACACAGGTTGCCTTCAAATTTGATATACAGTTTCAAGTATGAAATTCTAAAGTTTTGGTGCAGCTATGTGAAATGCTTAGTCAGGAAGTTCTAGAGATGTAGCTGTCTGACCTGCCTTTAAAAATTTAAATTTTATTTCTTTAGGGGCGAAGAGAGGGCTTGTGATTTTTTTTTTGTTTGTTTGTTCATTTGTTTTATTTTCCTTTTCTCCCCACTCTGCAGTTTCAATAGCAATTTATACTATTGCCTTTTCTGAAGTTGAGCATCCAACTAGAACTAAGAGGAAGGTTCTGCTGAGGCTGCAAGACTGTTAACAGGGTTTAGGGTCTTCTGGCTGGAGAAGGATATATTTGAAAAACAAAACAAAAAACTTAGTTTGGCCTATGGAAAAGGAGACTTAAATTCATCTTCTTACAACACTTAATCCATGGCTACTGTTTTAATTTCTTATATACAATTTTTATTTTGGCCAAGGTACTAAAGATTTGTTCCTGAAAGCATTTACCCTAAGGGGAACAAAGGAAGATGGAATAAAATTTGAGATTAATGAAACAGTCATTCATTTCTATATAATGAGTATTTTTCTTTGGCTGCTTTGATTCAGAAGGTTGTCCTTTTGGGGTTTTGGTTCGGTTTTGGTTCTTTGTTTGTTTTTTTCTTTTCAACAGGGAACCTTTATATAAAGTGAAAAGCCTGTATGCTGTTATTCATATGTTTACTGGATGTTTCTGGATATATACTTGGATGCTTGTTGGTGTTTCTAATGCTTCTTACAATATTAGATAGTCTTCTAAATGAAAGTATCTGTTTCTAAAAATCAGTGCAACGTATAGCACATTAACTGTGGTATCTAGTAATAGGGATGGAGATTTCAAGTAAGGTGGCTTTAAATGTTTTGGCAGGTGAAGTTCCAAAGCAGGTGAAAGTGAAAAAACTGAAGAACCTAAAAACTTTGGACTCCAAACCTGGTAATAAGTTGCTTCAGAGTTAAATTACCAGTATTTTAATTTTAAAAAGCATACCTCATTTTCCCTTTGGCTATATGCTGCTTTTTTTCTTTAGGTGTTTATACCTCTTACAAGCCATACTTGAACAAAGATGAAGAAATCGTTAAACAGTTACAAAAGGTAATACTGCAAGTGTTGTCTTAATGGAAATTGTTTTGTGTACTGTGGTACGGTGTTTTCATTTAAGGCTGAGCTCTGTCTATGTAACTGAAATGAAACTGGATTCTGTTTCCTTTGCCCCAATTTATAACTGGATGGGTATACACCCTCATTGTAGAAGAAGGGCTGCTGCCTTGTTAGCAGTTTCTGTAACAACATGAATGGTAGAACTCAAGAAGTTAGCTTAATAATTTAGAGAATTGAAGTGATTGATCAGTTCATCTGTTTTGGGTTTTCCACCCTTGCCATCCCCCTCTAGTCTTTTTGTTCTATAAGTCTTATGCATGAGGTGTGTAAGAATCAGAGCTTCCAGACTTTAACTGATTTGCACAAGTTTGTTTATAGAAATTTTTCTTGCCTTGAATGTCTTTACATGAAAATAAAAAATCAGCAATTGAAGGCATGAATATCTGTGCAAAAGGACTTGACACTATTGCTTTCCTTTCATGGTTCAGGGTAGGGCATACTATGTGTAAGCTTATGGCAAATGCATACAGAAACACTGGAATAAATATTCTTAAAAAAAACCCCACAACGACTTACGTATTTTGGGGTAACAGACGTATTGTGATATTTTATTTCTTTTTTTAAGGGTGTACAACAGAAACGTCCTACAGAAGCACAGAGTGTGATTCTTCGGCGGTATTTTTTGGAATTGACGGAAAGTTTCATTATTCCACTAGTGAGTTCTTGGACTAATGGGTTTTTTACATATGTAATATGGAGTAGCTTTTTTGGCGTTAGCCTGACTGAATAAGTCCAGTAACTATCTAGTAACTAGCAGTGTACCCCTGGGGCCAACACTGGGTCCAGTACTGTTCAACATCTTCATTAGTGATCTCAATGATGGGGCAGTGTGTACACTCAGCAAGTTTGCTGATGGTACAAAACTGGGAGGAGTGACTGATACACCAGAGGGTCGTGCTGCTGTTTGGAGGGACCTCAACAGGCTGGAGAAATGGGCTGACAGGAACCTCATGCAGTTCAGCAAAGAGAAGTGGAAATTCCTGCACCAGGGGAGGAATAAACCTATGTAGTGGTATATACTGGGGGCCGCCAGGCTGGAAGGCAGCTTTGCAGAAAAGGATCTGGGGGTCCTAATGGACGTGAAGTTGAACATCAGCCAGCAATATGCCTTTGAAGCAAAGAAGGCCAATGGTATCCTGGGCTGCATTAGGAGGGGTGTTGCCAGCAAGTTGAGGGAGATGATCCTTCCTCTCTATTCAGTACTGGTGAGGCCATACCTGGGGTATCATGGCCAGTTCTGGGCTCCTCAATACCAGAGAGAGATGGAGTTACTGGAAAGAGTCTAGTGAAGGGCCACTAAAATGATTGAGGGGCTGGAGCATCTTTCATACGAGGAAAGGCTGAGAGAGCTGGGACTGTTTAGCCTAGGGAAGAGAAGGTTCTGGGGGGATCTCATCAATGTATATAAATACCTGAAGGGAAGATGGATCCACGTTCTTTTCAGTGGTGCCCAGTGACAGGACAAGAGGCAATGGGCACAAACTGAAACACAGGAGGGTCTGTTGACCATCAGGAAACACTGTTCTTACTGTGAGAGTGACTGAGCACTGGAACAGGTTAGGTTGCCCAGGGAGGTTGTGGAGTCTCCATCCTTGGAGATACTAAAAAACTGTCTGGGCATAGTCCTAGGCAGCCTGCAGGTATGCTTGAACAGGGGAGGAAAGAGGGGAGTTGGACCAGGTGACCTCCAGATGTCCCTTCCAACCTCAACCATTTTGTGATTCTGTGAATAATATTTAAGCTACAGAAATTTACCATTAAGCTATGTCTTGACTTTTCTGAAATACTGTAGTCTTACATTTCTTTAATTATCATACTTAGCATAAAAATGAAGGCCGTAGCTTAATGTCAAAAATGAAACATTTATATACCTAGACAAAAGGTTCAGATCTCAAAAAGGAATGCTTCTTTGTATATGCTGCTAGACTGCATTTTCCGATGCTTGCTTGTGATGTACTGTGTAGCATTTATGCAAACAAAACTCTGTGTGTGTGTGTATTTTAACATGGAGTTAAGGAATTTCCAAGAAGGAAACTTCTCTAACCCTTCCTCAACACTTGGAACCCCTGTCCACTGTTGAAATTTTTTTTTTCTTTCATTTAAGCCTAAGGGTGTTTCCCCTGACCTTGAGAAACGTCAATATTGGAAAGGTAGAGTTAGAAAGTACTTTGTAATGAGAAGAGCTCTATCAGTGTATACTCTTGTAGTAATCTGCTATGATAGCTGAGGGGATACTACAAGGTAATCTTTCTATTAATATGTGAAAGATCAACCAATTCAACTGGTAAATTAGACTTGCTTAAATTTTTTCCCTTAAATATTTATTCTGTCTTCTAGTGGTAGTGCTTTTCCATACAAATCAGTAAAGTTTAGAGAATTTTTCCCTTTTCCAGTCATATTTGTACACTCACTACGGTTATGCTTGGCATGAGAAACTGTTTCTAGCATACCTTGGTTCCTTTCATCTGCCTTGTCCAGACAGAGCATTTCATTACTTGTTCTCTAGGCAATTAATTTAATTCTCTTCTTCGCAGACTTACTTATCTTTGCAACTCCATTTTACCTATGTTCTATCTGACTTTCAAAGAACAATGTCTGTCTCCGAAGGTAGACAATTTGGGTTTTGTTTTGGTTTTCTTTTTTTGTTCATTGATTTTGGAGGTTTTTTTGCCATTGGGTTACCTGCAGTAGACAAATTTCAGCAGTCAGACCTCCTTGGGCAGTTGTTTTATGGCCTCAAGGCAGCTCTTTCCTCAGATTACTGCAGTATTTGCAGGATTTTCAAATCTTGCACCTACATCAAGCATAAACAAAATTTACAAGAGACTTTTGAGAAAAAGACAATGTCTCCACTTAGATTCAGAGCATCTAGAACTGGTAAAAGAATTATTATGAATCTCCATTTTATGTCTGTCTCATTTCCTGTCAGGAAATGTTAATGGCTAACATGATGTAGCAGGGGCTACAGAATTTGCTTTCTCTTACCTGGTCTCAGTTTTCCTCATTATTACTGTTGTTTCAGAAAAAAATGGGCAAATGAAATTTAGTACGGATGGCGATTTCAAACACTTAAATACACTTGGGGAAAAATCACATATACAGAGCTCTTCACTAGATTATAAAATCAAAGATGAATATAGGTTAACTGGGATAGCTGATCCAACGCCACTGCTCAGAACAAGGCCAATTTGAATATATAGCTAAATATCAAACCTTGCTTTACAAGTATAGGCATAAACTTTTGGACAAATTCAACACACGTATGTCCCCTGATTCTAGAGAAGGCTTTGATCATTATCCTCATGCTTTGTCTTCCTCATAGGCAGTAAATACAGCTTCTAGATCACTGGTGACTGCAATGATCACACACAGTACTGCTCTTTCCCCAAGCCTTGGGTTTTAGAGTATAAGACGTTTTCATGATAATCTGCCATTTTTCAGTCCTGCTCTGCTTGGCCATAAACCTGATTAGCTTTACATCCGTGGGGGAAATCCCAAAACAACATTGAAAGCTTTCAGAGTTTTGCGGTTTCCTTTTTCCCTTTTTTTTTTTTTTTTTTTTTAATAAATCTCAGCAAAGAGCCTCCAGTTTTTGTTCTAAACTGTAGAAGAGATGAGTCCAGCAATCTGAAGGTTCATAGTGAGGCTAATGGCATCGAGTTCCTTCAACCATCATTTCTATTCAGGAATTTTCCTTCTGATTTTGTTCTTTTATCTTTGTCTATTAGTGATAAGCTGGTTTGTTTTTTCTCAGAGTCTCATGAGAATGGTTTCTAGAGAGTAAATCTCAAGACTTGCTTTTTCCTCCCAGCAGTTTCTATATGCCATTCCTGTGAAAGAATGATTCACACAAGGGTTTGCTTTATCAGGTGATACTTTCTTCTGTTTTGGCGTGTGATAAAACAGATTGTGAGGAAACTGCTAATTCAGGTGACTCTAGAAGATGTTATTAAGATTTTACAAAGGAGAGACTGTCACTGAATGCTGAGATACATCTACTTTGTATCAGGGCATCACACGGAGAATAGTTTTTCAGTGGATCAGAATATTTTATTGTACAGCATCATGCTATTCTGGAAGTGACAGATACCTGGTGTTTTGCTCTCTAAACATGGTACTTCACCTGTTCAAATCTCTAAGCCAAAGTTAGGGGGCAAATTTTGTCTCACTTCTAACCAGTCAGCAGAGTTGTTTGGAATGCTTTATGTTCACGGATTTATGTTTTGTGTTTTTTTCTTCTGGGCAGACATCTCAATTTGCTGAAACAAATTTTAAAACAGGAACTTGTATCTAATGTAATAGTAAAAACTTACCGGTCCTGTACACTGAAATCCTGCTGTAGTGTTTGCAGACTCCTGACGTACCTTTATGCTGACAAATGAATATTGTGTTTACGTTGCTGAATCCATGCAGATTTGTAGGCTTTGACTTGCACTGAAATGGAAATTTGTCATCTCTTTTCTAATTTGTGCATTAAGATAATGATAAATATGTTCTAATATGCTCTTACCTAGCATTTGGAGGTATGAAGTCTGAGTAATGATGGACTTCACCAACCCAAAAAGTTCTGTGTGAAGTTAAGTCATTTCTCTGGGCCAGTGGTTAAAATTGGGAAGTGATACCTCAGGCATTGGATGTTTATGTATCAGCTGCCCCATTCTGAGCTCTCTAAACGCTTTTGTGGATGACCTGAACTTTGCATCGTTTTAGAGCATGCGTGATCAGGTCCAATTTCTGTCTGCAAGAATTGGGACATCCCTAGACACTTGTTTGTCCTTGGGCGTTAATGATTAGAGGAGTCTTTCCTTAAAATTTGTCTTTCTCTCCTGTTCTTTTGATACATGATAGACATATAGGGTGAATCTAAAACTTTTCCCTGGCATTCCCCCATCTTACTCAAAATTTCACTTCAAGCGAGAAACTTAATATGTTTTCTGTCATAAATCTTAAATTTATACGGTGAGATCACCCTTTACATTCTCTTCCACAAGAAAAGTATATGGGGGGGGTCCTTTGTTTTTTCAAAAGATAGAACTAGACTTTTCATAATGTTATGGAAGCTGATTATGTTCATAGATCAAAATGTATGGCCATTTATGTACAATCCCTTTCAAAATGTATAGCAGCTTATATTGATGTGCTTGTGTGAGCTGGCAAGGCGGAGCTGCCTCCTGTCATCAGACCTTAAGCTTCAGTAGTGGCCTTGTGGAGGAATGTCTCCACTATTCATATGTTAGATAGCCAGCTGGGGGCTCTAGCCATGCCTTTGCCAAGCGTTGCTACTGCAGAGATGCCTGCAGCTGATAAGTGTTTTGTAGGTTAGTTCTGTATTCAATGTTTGTATGAGGGACTCTGAAAATTACTTCCAAATACTTGATACAAAGTGGGATTACTGTTTGGAATGACCCATGATATGAAGGTACCTGCGGACTGTCACCAAAGAAAAGAGAGATTATTTAGTAGTGGCTGGAGTTCAGGGTGTATATATATATTCCATGTATACATTTGCTTCCTGTCTTTCCCTCATGTCCTTCTTGAATCTTGCTGACATAAAGTTCTGTAGTTGGGAAATACAAATGGTATTAGATAAGCTCCTTCTTACGCACTCATGTGGTAAATATGCATGACCCCACCCTGTACCAATACTTAGAAGAGAAAATGCTGTGGTCACAAGTGATAAGTAAACATACACGTGGACTGTGTATCTTTAATACTGGTTATGCAAACAACCTCCCTTTTTCCTTTCCCTAGGAACGTTATGTGGCGAGCCTAATGCCTTTGCAAAAATGCATATCACCATGGAAGGTAAGGAAATATAATTTGAATGAGCTGGAAATTGGTGATTAGAGAAAACAGTTATGGCGTGCTAATGATTTTTTTCTTTCCATAGAGTCCACCACAGCTGAGGCAGTTTAGCCAAGATGACTTCATGAAGACACTGGAAAAAGCAGGACCACAGCTCACATCAGGTTTAAAAGGAGACTGGATAGGACTTTACAGGTCACTTCTTTCATCAGCATAAAAAATTAAATTATATAAATGAAGACAAATCAGTAATACAAATGCTCTTTTCCTGAGCAAACTTATCAGTATTGATTTGAGTAAGACTTACTTTTAGAATATATGCTTTAATAGGAATTGAGATAGTGCTTAGTATACTTCACTCGCTTAAATCTGTTTCTCTGTAACCTGTTAATGGTTTTCATAAGTTGCTACTAACACAACAGGTCTCTGTATAACAGTATTATTTGTGGGTTTATTTCTGGTTCTAACTTGATTCCTCCTTCCAATCAAACACAAAGACAAAAATGAGGATATTTCAAACTGAGCCTTGCTTTTTTCCTGACAAAATTCCTAATCTATTGTCTTTCAGACCCCTTTTCTTTACATTGTTTTCTCAATCCTTGTCTTGATTAATAGAAGCACCTGTTATACTCCACTTCAGAATATTACATTTTTTTGAAAGTAAACAGAGAAAGGGTCCTAATATCTTCTTCAACCTCAAACATAATTACTTTAAATTTGATGACGTAGAAAACGGAGTGTTATCAAAATTGTAATTAAAATATAAAATGTATTTTGCTTCGGTGTTTTACCAGGCATTTTTTGAAATCGCCCAACTTCGATGGTTGGTTTAGGAGCCGGCAGAAAGAAATGACACAGAAGTTGGAGGCCCTTCATTTAGAAGCACTCTGTAATGAGGTTAGAAAAATGTGTGCTTATGATTATATTTATCATCTTGTAATAAAAATATATTCTCCCTCAAGTCAGTTTTACTCCTGTTGTTTTCATTGGTTGAACATAAAAATGTTGACAATTTTGTCAAGTCTGATCTAGCAAAACATGAATTTGTTAACCAAGTACAAGCTCAAACTAACATAGCAAAGGAGAACAGTATGAAATACAGTTCACTTTTTTATAACAACTGTCATCATTTGCAAAATGTATCTTTAGACCTTTTTTGTTTTGTTGTGTATTTTGAAATTGAATATTCCCCCCCCCCCAAAAAAAAAAAAAATTTTTTCTT